CTGCGGGCGCAGGCTTGTCGCTAGGGCGCGAACTGCAGAGCCTGTGCGCGTTTCCTAGCAAAAGGAATAATAAAATTAACAGCGCTGTCGCTGCGCTAGAGAATTGATGCCATGAGCCCAGCTAGGAAGTAGAGAGCTGTGTTGTCGGTCATAGTTGTTGTTGTGGTCGCTGGGTTAGGTGGTGGTCTGCGGGCGGGGCGCTGGTAGCTGGGCTGGTGCGGCAATGCGCGCGCGATGCCTGCGTGCGCAGTATTTGAGAGGCATTGCAGTAGATATTGTTAAGAAAGATGCGCTCTAGATAGGTTCCTCTTACTCTTTGCATTCGCACCTGCGTCTTGGCAATAGCTAGGGGAACGAGGGAGGAAGCAGCTATCTTTCACACAAAGGAGCAATTATACGCTATACTGTAATAGGTAGCGCCATGGTCAAGTCCACCAATCTAGGCCAAAAAGAGGAGCGAAAAGGGGGTCGGATCCAGCGCGATGCCCAATCGAGACGAACAAGGCCTGATCCGCAGCAGTCGCAGGGAGATAGGAGCAGATTAAGCTTTATGTAATAAACATAGAACATTATAACTTAATCCTAGAATAACCCTAGCTGTATTAGCATAAGGTTGCCTTTAATTACTAAGAGTAAGTCTTAAACTTTAACTTTTTCTAATGCTAAGACATATGCTTACGCTTACACCTAAACAACACTTAAGTAGCACTTAATATAGAAGGTCTCTAGACCTACTTTCTAATAACCTAAAAAAGAACTACTTAAGTAAGGCTAACAAGCTAGGCCTTTTACTAAAATAAGCTATATAAAATAATTTAATAACTACTTAAACTTAAAGAAAAAAAAGCTTTTAAGAAATTTTTACGTACCTAATTTAAACATAAACTAGGACTTAAACAGTAGATAGACATCTGCTATATAAGACCTGCCTTATTTATAACCCTAGCTTAATAACTAGATTATAAAATCTACATAGTTATAATTTTTAATATAGACTAAGCTTTAGCTCCCTAAAAACGCACTAACTTAAGAATAATAGTCTCTTAAGACTACTATAACTTATTATATGTCTTCTTTTAAAATAAGTCTAATAAGCTTTTAATATAACATCTATATAATTACTAAATAACTTTTAAGCCTAGTAAACAACCTAGTTATAGGCTACTATATAAAATGTTGCTAAACAAATTAAAAGTGCTCTAAAAATACTTTAACAAGAATCTAAAAAAAAGGTTTATTTAAGCTAGCTTTTTACTAGTAGTGTTACTTATACTATTTATAAAAAAACTTAGGGGTAGGCTTTAATTCTACATTAACTACTAAGAACTAAATGCTGTTACTATTAAAAACTAATACTTAATTTTTTTTTTATAAGAAACCCTAAGCTAACTAAGTAAAGCAAAGTATTTTATAAAGTTAGATATTATTACTGCCTTTAATAAGCTAAAGATAGTAAAGGGTAATAAGTAGCTAACAGTGTTTTAGACCTAATACAGACTATTTAAGTACTTAGTAATGCCCTTTAGCTTAGCTAACACGCCTAGTACTTTTTAACATTTTATAAACAACTTACTCTAACCCTACTTAGACATGTTCTGTACTGCGTATATTAACAACATTCTAATCTACAGTAATAGCCTTTTAGAGCACAAACAGCATGTACGCCTAGTGCTAAAGGCTATAAAAGAAGCAGGTCTGTAACTTAACATAGACAAATATAAGTTCTACTAATTAAAGGTTATGTATTTAGAATATATAATCTCTATAAATAGCATTTAAATAGACCCTATTAAAGTTTAGACTGTGCTAGATTAGCAATACTTAAAAGACATAAAAGATGTTTAAGCCTTTATAAAATTTACTAACTTTTACTAATAATTTATTAACAACTTCTTATAGCAAGTAAGCTTTATAATTACACTTACTAAAAAAAAAATTTAATTTAACTTTAACTTAAATTACTAATAGTTCTTTAACTAGCTAAAAAAAGCCTTTACTAAAGCTTTAATACTCTGCTACTTTAACTTTAAACTACTAATACTTATAAAAGCTAATGCCTTAGACTACGTAGTAGTAGGAGTTCTTTTCTAGACTAAGCTAGATAGGACTATTAAGCCTATTGCATATTTCTTAAAAAGAATAAGTTCTGCAGAAGGTAATTATAAGATCTATAATAAAAAATTACTTACTATAGTACACTGCTTTAAATAATAGCAACTTAAACTAGAAGGTGCAGCGCATCTAATATAGGTTCTATTTAACTACAAGAACTTACAGTACTTTACAACTATAAAATAACTTAGCTACTAATAAGCCTGTTAGTTTAAATACCTATTTTATTTTAATTTTAAGATTACTTATTATTCTAGTTAAGACAGAGGAAAACTAGATGCTTTTATAAAGTAATCCTAAAACATCTCTACTTAAGAAAAAGTGTAAAAGGCTTAATACTAAACTTTACTTTAACCTAAGCTATTTTTAGACCTTAACCTAAATAAAATAAATTAGATAATTAATTAAATTATTACTAATAAGTATTTAAATAATAAATTTATCTAAGAAACCTTAAACCTGCTCTAAAACAGCGCTAGTTAGTTAAAAAAAGTAACACTAGCTAACTATAAAAACTAAAATAGTAAGCTATATTACTATAACTAACTTATAATTTTTAATTTTAATAAACTAAGAATTAAACTACTTTAAATTATATATAACTTGCTTATTAGAGGACACCTAGGCAGAGGAAAGACTCTTAACCTACTATAGAGAGAGTACTACTAGCCCTGCATGTTCTATACTGTACGCTAATACGTATTATGTTGCTATACTTGCTATAAAGTAAAGGCCTCTTAAAAAAGGTATAATAGCCTACTTAAACTACTCTTAATCCTTAAATTAGCTTAGAAAAATATATTAATTAATTTTATTATAAACCTACCTTTATTTAAAGAGTATATAAATATTATAGTAGTTATTAATTACTTAACTAAGTATTAACACTTAATACTATGTTCCTCTATAACTGCCTCTAATATAGCCTAGTTATTCTACTAATATGTATAGGTTTACTATAGCCTGCTGTCACAATTGTGCACAAGTAAGGTTATAGAGCTTCACAGAGGTCTAGTTCAATTACTACGTGAGGTATTATAGTAGGTACAAGACGTTGTGTGAGGAACAGGAAGGTTTAGGAGGAAATTAGCAATTAAATACTTAGCTTAGAAGTCTAAGCGCTTTAGGTATAAATTAAGCCTGTTCTAGGTTTAGTTAGTGTTAAGGTAGTTTGTGCTTAAGTTTATGTCCGTGTCGTGTTGTGTTTGTGTCAGACGTGCACTGATAATACTCTAGTACACGTCTAATACAGTTATGTCTAGGATCTAGGGAGGATACTGTGACACCTGCCTAACATAATTATATTAAATAGAGGTACACAGTTTGTCTTAGCCTTCTAGAACAAACTCTATAAATAGCTTTAAATTGTCCTTTATTTATCTACAGCTTTTTA